GGGGGGGGGCTCAGAGGGCGGCGCTTTTTTTTGCTGCTTGGGGCAGCCAAAAAGTTAGAGCCGGCCCTGCCCCCTGCACATCACTTTTCCAAAGCACAAATGATTGATTGAAATTCTAAATTTAGTAGAATTTCAGTGAACCTCAGGTTTATATTAAGGAGGTTAAAATATATTGTTCAAAATCTTTATCAGTAAGGTCAAAACTAAAAATGAAATAAGCTGGACCATATTCTGTTCTTATTTACACAACTCCTAATTCAGAATAATGGTTGAAGCCCTTGCAATTACTCCAGATTTAGAGCAGCGCTAAGGAGAGCAGAATTTGCCCCCTTGTGTTTGTTAGTTGCAATTTCGGTTGGAAACTGTGCTACAGAGAGGGCCTCTCTGGTAAAACCCCTAAATGGCACATTATATTGAAGAATTCACTTAGCGCAACTTACTGTAAGTATTAAAGTGCATGTAATTTCTAGAATTTACTTGATGATGTTTCTTTGTAAAACTTCTGTAAAGATTGGAACCAACATTGCCTGCCAGTAACATTAGACCCTTGAGTAAGACCAACTGCAATGAATTAACTATGGAAAAAAGTCCATCTGTATGGAGATCATCCACAACAGAACCCTTTCATGGGAGTGTGTGTGTGTGGGGAGAAGCAAGCCATTTTACAAGGGGGTACATAGATACAAATTTAAGCTGCGGGCTAGCTCCTTAAACACATACATCACAAGTTATCAGCCAATACTTGTGTTTAGGTAAATGAAGGGGCATTCTGGAGGTAGCTCTTGCTCTTTTTGTTGTAACATTGGAGCTAAAACTAGAAGCTGAGGAGATCTGAAACGAAACCCCTCTGGATAATTCAGAACTACACCACTGTCTTGATGCTTAGCATCGTTTACCCTCTCGGATCTTTTTCCTTTAATTTCTTTGGGGCACTGTCCTAGGCATTTTAGAAATAATGCTACATCATGTCAGTAAAAGCACTGGTTTTTACTGACATGATGATTGCATGGCAGACAGCAATATATTCCAACAGAATGTGCCCCTGGGGCCATGGTGGGGGCAGAGAACCTGGCATAGATGACTTTTGCAGGGCCGCCCGGGGGGGCAAGTAGGACAATTTGCCCCAGGCCCCCACGAGAATATAGTATTCTATAGTATTGCAACTTTTTTTTATGGAAGGGGCCCCTGAAATTGCTTTGCCCCAGGCCCTCTGAGTCCCCTGGGCAGCCCTGGACTTTTGCCTCCCGATACTGGGGGGGGGGGCACAACCTAAAGGTGAGGACATATAACTGCCCCACGTGTCTCCTCTGCCCAGCGATCCCCCCCACCCGGTGCCCAGCCCTGGGGCCACCGCGCTCTCCCCACTCCATGTTACCTGCAGGGGGAGAGGGGGCTCTGTCCTTCTCCCACTGCATCTCCCCCGGCACGTTTGGCCCGTGTCCCTGGCAGGCGGGCCCGGGTGGGGAGTGGGAGGAAGTCACTTCTCTTGCCAGCTGAAGGTGGCCGCTCTGGGTTGCTGCTCTGTGCAACGTAGCACGGCTGGGGAGGTGGTGGCAGTGGCCTGCTCCCCAACCGGGCCCAGCTGCTGGGGACGGGGATGAGTGAGCCTGAAATGTGCTGGGGGGAGAGGGGACCCCGGCTCACTTGGCCCCCAGCTCAGCTTTCACAGGCAACTGCTGTGCTGCACAGAGCAGCGACCCAGAGCAGCTGGCATGAGAAGTGGCTGGTCCTGCCCTCTCCGCTGCCTGCCTGGGCCCAGTTGCTGGACAGGGGCTAAGCATGCTGGGGGGCAGGCGCAGTGGGAGAAGGACAGGGTCCCTCTCGCTCCCCCACCCCAGCAGGCCAAGCAGAAATCTGGGGGGGGCACTTGACCCCGCATGCCCCCCCATGTATGGCATGTGCCCCTCCAAAAGCAGTGAAATTTAAATTCCTGTGCACGCCCGTTACTTCAATTGTGACAAGTTAGAAACCTTCTAAACAATATGATGAACTTACCAAAGGTGAGAACATTAGCTCAAATCCTTTGGGGGTGGGGGGAAAGGGAGGGAAGATGAGGGGGTTGCAATTGGCCGCCTGGAGGATGGAGGAGATGCAGGATCCAGGGACGAGCAATCCACCCCCCTCCCCGCCCCACAGTCCCTGGAAAGCTCAATGAAGTAGCAGCCGGTGGTAGTGCAAGCCCCAGGCTTTGGCCAGGAGAGGCACAGCACAGAGCGCCCCAAGCACAGCAGTGTAGGTGTGCGAGTGAGTGATGCAGGGGAGCCCTAGCTAAGGGCTGTGGCCAACAAAGAAGCCGCCTGGCTGATTGACAGCTCAGGGGAAGGGTTGTGTGACTCTTGCACACAGAGAGCTCTGCATGCCTGTTTTAAAGGGCCAGTGCTCCTGCATGCTTGTGCTCGTCCATGAAGAGCGAGCTGGAGCCCGGTTCAAGTATGAAACTCGGGGGTGGGGTAGGGTGGGTAAGTGCCCCCCTGCCCTCCCTAACTGGCACCTCTGTTTCAAAGGAGTTTAAATTAAATAGAATTGAAACGGGTGTTGGGTGCCTTTGGCAGTTTGACAGTCCCAGCCCTAATGTGTAGAGAAGAGGCTGGTGACAGCTGAAAATCAACAGGCAAAACTGACCAAACAAGGGGAACTACTCGGAGCTAACTTACTGGAGTAGGTGAAAAGCCTGCTGTGTCCGACTTCAAACAAAGTATGGAAAGCCTACCCAGCCTGTGCTAAGGCACTTCCTATACCTCTGAGGTGGTACAGGAGGCTCTAGAAGCACCAAGTCTGTCTTTCTGGAGCTTCTGTGGCCAGGCATGGGAGAAGTCACAGAAAGGAAGAAGTTAGAGGATCTGGCTCTGTTGGCTGCATAAATCAGGCAAATTCCTTTTAGCTTGTAAACTCTTTGAGGCAGGGACCGTCACTATGGACTTCACAATGGGTGGTGAAGCTGGTTGGGGCCCTTAGCCCAATAGACATTCTAATAAATAATAAACTCCAGTGACATCCACTGTGTAACCCTGGCATGAGTGAGATCAGATTCAGGCTCAGGGGGACTGAGTCATCTATCTGCCGCCCCGACCGGGAAAACCGAAAGGTCTGCTGCTTGCCAGGAGCTAGGATACACAATGTGACGGAGAGACTGCCGAGACTCATCAAGCCCTCGGATCGCTACCCCTTCCTGCTTCTCCACGTGGGCACCAATGATACTGCCAAGAATGACCTTGAGCGGATCACTGCAGACTACGTGGCTCTGGGAAGAAGGATAAAGGAGTTTGAGGCGCAAGTGGTGTTTTCGTCCATCCTCCCTGTGCAAGGAAAAGGCCTGGGTAGAGACCGTTGAATCGTGTAAGTCAACGAATGGCTACGCAGGTGGTGTCGGAGAGAAGGCTTTGGATTCTTCGACCATGGGATGGTGTTCCAAGAAGGAGGAGTGCTGGGCAGGGACGGGC